CAAAGCAAAACATGAATCGTAATCTTTTTTTTATCACTCTTAATGTACAATTACAGGAAATTATTCATTTAAATAAAACCACAAAACAGAGATGGCCTTTTTGTAATGCAGCTTTATTCAGCAGATAGTTTTGAAGCAAATTTTACATTTTTTAAACCAATAGGAGCTTTGCCAAGTCACTACATCTCAAGGGCTTCATGCAAACCCAAGACTACTAGTTTGTTAATTACTTCCAATTATTTCTTGCTTTGCAAAGCAAAAAGATATAGCTCAAACTATATCTTCAAAAAGAACAGATTCAGCGCTGATTGTATGGTTGCTCTTGATTGTTGTCCGTCTCAGGAATGTATCTGTCTCGATACCTAGTTAGAGAGCGAAAGAATTACATATAGACCAGAATGTTAATCCACAAACATTTTAATACTTCAATTGGTTTAAAAAAATAAAGTATTTGAAGAGATCAACTTGGGAGAGAAGTGATGGGTTCCAATGGTTTTCTTTTACTTTCTTTTTTTGCCTTGTTGATATCACTAGTAATTATTAATCAGAGATACTTACCGTGAAACCGCCTTGTGCGCTAAACAGGCAAAAAGATGAAAATAACATAAATTGGTGATATTATCATTTCATTATAGTCAGTCATATTTATTAGTTGTTTTTTTAAATTAGTACATTAATGATGCTGTTTTTACTTAAAGTTTAGGGCTTTTGAACAAATACAGCTGAGATATCAGGACTAATTAAAGATTTAGCAAAACACAGAACTTAGTGAAGTTAGCACAATCTGGTGAAAATGTTGTATATTTACATGTTTTATAGCAATTTGTTGATCACAGACTAAAGTAGGCTGCTGTTTGTGTCTGTCTGTTGAACACGGATCTTATGAACAGTTCTGATTTACCTCTCCATCCCTGCCTGGCACCTCTCAATATGGCCTGGGTCCGTCTGAAAAAGCGTCCGAGAAAACCCTCCCCGGGTTCAGCCATGAGGACGACCAGTGTCAACACCAAAAAGATCATAACACACTTCATCCTGAAAACGCACCAAGTCAGATTTATGACATTATAATGCTGTAAACTGCTACCCTGCACTTTCTTTAATGCTTTGTCCCTACGTACAGTATATTACACATTTGTATTTTCTATCTCATGAATTTATCCAACCATATAACAAGACTACAAGAGATAAGTGTTAATTCAAATCACACATCCTAAAGACTTTAGTAAAGAATTTAGTCAAAGTAAAATATAGATAAATTAGTATTTTACCTTCCGACAGATTGATAGTCAAAAGACTGTTGTCAAAGAAAGTAAAGACAGAAGTTGTAGGATCTACAACTGATGTGGTTTTTTGTAGTTGCCAGTTGTATAATACCCATCTGGAGTAGGTGTGGCAACTTTTTTAATGTTCAGTAGGTGTTGATCTAATTTAAGTTTCACATTTTTTAAGCCGTGAGAAAGTGGTTAGACTCAAGATTCCACTTCTGCCTGTGAGGAGAGTGTGTGAAGTGAAGTAATGTATTTAAGGAATAACCATTTGACACAGCAACAAATGATATTTATTGTAAATTGTATTGTGAATTGCTTTTATATCATTATTTCATTAGGCGCAAGTTCTGCCTGCAGTTAATCATATATGTTCAAATATTAGTCTTCAAATGACAATGACAAATAATCTTGCCGTGAAGTTGCAGATTGCAGCCATTTGAATAGAGCTCAGCCTTCTAAGTGTGAACTCTCTGCCAGCCTTTTGTTTGTTGGTTCAAAGTTACTGTAGAAACATGACAGTTGAACATGGCGGCAGCAAGAAGACCCGCTCCCTCTGAAGATAAAACAGCTCATTCCAAGGTAACAAACAAACACAACTATCCTTATTGTCAGGTTGAAAACACACCTATAAATATTATATTCAATTTCTGACAATAGATCCTCCTACATGTTACACACTGGACCTTAACAGTCAGTGTGAGTAAAAATAAAATGAAAGACTGACTCAAACTACATTTAGTAGTACTCTTCATTCATCTGCATTGATAATAAGCTGATGTATGGAGTACAAGTTAGAAGCAGACAGTTCAAACAGCTAGCCTGGCTCTGTGAAATGCTAACAAAATCTGTCTACCAGCACGTCTAAAGTCCACCAATTAACATGTTATACAGTATGTTATTGGTTTAACATGTATAAAAACGATAAACTTATTTAATTGGAGGTTATATGTCGGATTCTTTCTTTGCTGGGACTTGATTTTCACCAGTGCACAGAGATAGACCTTTTTGACCAAAAGCATTTCAACCTGTGACAGTAGGAAAAGCACAGGTGTAAATAATGAACTGATGTTGGCTGTCTCAGTTTCAGGTTGCTGGTATTGTGCATGTTGGCTCACTATCACACCGTCATGACTTCCTGGGATAGAACTGTTCTTTTCCAACTATGACAAGCTAAGGTCAATTTGTGACATCACGTAATCCCCAACTACAACCTCAGGAGATTTCTAATCAGCCCAAATAAGTTCTGCGTTCATGACTTTTAATGCAAGGTTGAGTCATTACAATCAACCCATGGAGAGCAGGTAGTTTACCTTTCCATCCGCTCTTTGACCCTCTCCAGAAAGCTTTGAGGCCTCCGAAACACACCCAGGTTCAGCCATGAGAACCAATGTCAACACCAGAAACCCCAAAACCTACTTCCTCCTGAAAACAAGAACATGGTGGCCACACCACAGAATCTTTTTACAGCCACTTTTCATCCAACTTTATAGCAACTGTAAAAGTCACAATATGTGTTAATTGCCAATTCTCAGTCACATATCGCTAACACTTAAGTACTGTGCAAGATGACGTGACTCCCTGTACCCCTGAAGTACCTCTCTTTTTATAAAGACAAGGGTATTTTTTGCAATGTTTGTGTACATTCAGTGAAATTGTGTTTCTCATTGCATTTCACAACATCAAGTTCTGTTCACAGATGACAAGGCGTTGATCTAATCTCAACTGTCACAACACGGTCTCCCTTTTCAGTCTGTGAGAAATGTTTGCTGCAGACTGATAATAGTTTAATCTGTTAGCATACAACATTAAAACAGAACAAAATGTGTAATAAACCTGAGGAACGAAGATAACAATGTGCCACATGTAATGACGAATGTAAAATCAACAACATTGATAGATTTTATCAAAACAGGTGCACATGGGGTCGTGTCTGGAATATATAATACATTGTAATGTTGTTTTTTCAATTTTACATCCCATCATAAAATCTATTATAACATTTGGCAACCTAAACAGACGTCTGTCTCGCTAGTTTGACTGTGAGAAATATGCAGTTGGTCACTTTAAAAGACGTCACAGTGATTGTGTAAGAACGTTTATCAGCAAACAGCACATTGATGCTGGTCAACCTTCTGACACCTCGAGGTGAGGAAGAAGTAGAAAGGACTCAGTGTACAACACTGTAGTTCATTTTAATCAAAAAAAAAAAAAAAGGATGCAGCCAGTGCAAGGGTGAAAATTTCGAAGAGTTTAATTTGGTGGCAGACATCAGATTAAGTCATGCTACACTCACGGTGTATTCACATGGTCTTCATAAAGAAAGAGTTAAATATGACACATCCATATCACATTCTGCGTTGTCACCCGTTAACTTTATAGACTGAGGCCTGTAGTCAGTTATTCATTAAAAGTAAAACATTATTTCATTTCATTTCATTGTCTTTGCAGTCTTTGTGCTATTCACTAATGTCTTTTTCTTTAAGTTGTCTTTTTAAAAGTGCTTTTTTCTGCATTGTAGAAGTTTATTTTTGCCAATTAAATGTTTCTGCTTCCACTCATTTAACTTCATGTCGTAAAAATAAACCTTAGGCTGTGTTTCAAATCAGTTATGTCTCATTGCTGTTAAATAATTCAAACATCATTAAATGAGTCACTCAAATTCATGAATATAGCCAAACACTATAAGCACTAGCTAACATTACTTTCAAATAAAATGTTGGCGTAGACAATAACAAAAACTCTAAATTCTGACTTCAGAAAGCATTGTAGCCTTTTATTAACTTACATTAAGGATTTATGAGGCCTGTAGTTTGATAGAGCTTCCTAAATGTTCACGTCTCACTGCAGCTGTGCATTTGACTTAATTCAGACACTGATCATTGTAGAATTCTTGCAAACTACGATTATTAAACTTCTTTATGTATGTGATAGCAAAGGTTTTTAAAAAAGAGGAAGAGTTTATCATTCACTTACTCCCCCTAAAGATACTTCCTGTTTTATGTGCAGCGTTAAGAATGACCACAGCAGAGTTTAGCCCTTTCCCTGTGTATGGACAGACTCCTAATACTGGAACGATCTTTTCCCCATCCTCTTTGTGTCATTCGTAGTCACTGTAACATACAAGATGCCTTATGAAAACACCAGGCTCAAACATATGCTTCAGTCTCACTATTTAAAACTTTATTTGATGCTGTGGTGTTGGTCATTCGTAAAATAGTGTGTATTATGTTCTTTTTTAATTCCACTGGCAAATTATAGATTTTGAAAATGCAGCGATACCCTCAGTCGCAAGATGCAACATTCCCCCAAGTTATCACATTTGATGAACGAATGGATAACTGCCATGTTCTTCTATGCATACCTGAAATGTTCAACTGTAATAGAAAAAACTAAATCACTCAATTCTGTAACAGATACAGTTAGACACCTTTAATGTAGATTACCATAGCAGAAATACAGTATATTACTGGCATGTTAGTTACAGTATTAAACTGTAAACCTCCCATTCTACTGTAGAATCATACATTTTATGTTAATATACTGAAAATGACAGTAGTGTAACTGTTGAATAATGGTAGGATACTGGCGCCTGTGCTGCCAGTAGTTTACGGGAAAATGTCCCATAGATGTTTAATTGGGTTTATAACTATAATATCATAACAGTCAATTCACATTTTACTATTTCTGTACTAATTTATTCAGATTTTTCCTTTAAATAAGACAAGAGAGATGTTTTGCTGTAATGCAGATTTATTCCAAATCAATTGAAGAGCAGGAGCTGTGTTGAAGTTGAGTTGAGTTGAGTTACAGAGTTGCAGAGCACCTCTTTCAGGTGAACCATCAGGAAGTCTAATTAAAAGCTTCCCGCTCTCGGTCCAAGAAGCGCTGATCTTGCTGCTCACTCTCCTGTTGCGCCTTTCCCCCCGTGATAAATCTGGTGGGTTGAGAGAGAATTGAGAGAGTTTAGCTCCAGAACACGAGCAACAAGAGCGTTCGTCAAATGTTACAAGAATCAAGGTCTTACCTGCCGATGCTTTTGCCAGCTAAATGAAACAAGTGAGTGAATAAAACAAGCATTAGAACATAAATATATGCAGTTGGAAACATGATTACAGCGTTTTTCTTTGTAGTACGTAATTCATCGTAAGGCATTGTAAGGCCTTTTAAATGCATTCATAATAATAATGATTCATAGTGCATTAACATGAAACAAACAAGACTAGATCAAATACAGTCTGATATAATCCACAAGAGCCTTTTAACTGTGTAATTCAGGATCTTATGTGCATAATAGACACATATTGGAAATGAGTCTCAATGCAAATTCTAAATATTTAATTTACTCTCCTGATATTGTATTTGAGTTGGGTGTTGTTGTAATTTGACCCCTAACACACACTCACTCACACTCACTCACACACACACACACACACACACACACACACACACACACACACACACACACACACAGAGACCACTGGCTCAATCTGTCAATAACAGTGGAGGCCAAACCAAACATATGCATAATAAAATATTATAAATCATAAAAACATAACCTCAGTAGGGACTACATTTCTTTTAGAGGTGCATGTTGTGTGGCTCTGGTATTATGAATGCCGAGATGAGACAAAGCCATCGTTAATGTTATTATGAGTAATACAATTCCAATATGTTGATGATATATGATTGGTTACCGTTAATAATTCCACGGAAAATGTGGTGAATGAAAGCGTCCCCAGGTTCGGCCATGAGGACGACCATGGACAAGACAAGAAAGACCGTGATGCACTTCATCCTGAAAACAATAACCAAATCAAAAAGGCCATGTTTAGACTTTATAATACACACTTAAAATGAGGATATTTACACTAACAATCCTCAGCAGTTTGCTCCTAGATGAAGGGAGATACTTACTTCTTTCCACTTCTTGCAAGGAGGAAGTCAAAAAAGCTGCTACCAAAGTGAGGCCTGGGAGATGTACAGGTGGTGTAAATATCTGTGTGTTGGTAGAAACACATCTCTTTTTATAGCAAAGGCTAATTTCCCTTACTCATTGTTTGTGCAGGGTTTCACAATATAGGAAGTTAAACAGAAAGTTCACACAGGAGTAAGATACTAGTCTCATCTTCACCAAAAAGAACCAAGTCAGTCCAACTGAGCTCACATCTGCACATTCAGGTCTTTACTTTAGTTCCAGACCTTTTTCCTTCAGGGACCCTTTTCTATCACTGAGGAAACTGACGACTGCTGACTAACTGACACATTTTATAGATATTTCATATTATATTCAACGCATAATGCTGTACAATGAACGTACGCAAACAGTGAACACAGTAACTGCAGGACGTTTGTGTAAAATGAGAGATTTGATGAATTCTGAGCAGATATTTTTAGGGACTTTTCATATAATTCTTAGATGAGAGCAGGGTTGCACCCAGAAACAACGTGGCAGGCCCCGCCCATTGTAGCACAGAGCACTGTTATTATTTTTGTTATTATTCATATTTTTATATTCATATTTTCTACTGGACATTTTGGTACTCCATTTTATCTTTTACTCATCATCCACTTTATGCCTGCTAAGATGCTCCTGTGACCGACCAGAACCTGATCACAAATACTGACTCACACAATTGTGATACTGCGTTATAGCATTCATCAATCATTGTCTCCTAACTCTCACTTGTGCTCACAGTTGCTGCTGTTAAGCAGAAGTTACATACAGTAGGTCAAGGAACATGTCAAGGAAAACACACACACACACACACACACACACACACACACACACACACACCTATACATTCCTACATTGCTAACAGTGGACTGTTGTACTACCCTATCCAACAGGGGACTGATGTTCCTGGTTATTTAAAAAAAAAAAAAATAGCGTAGAAAATTTTCGTTTAAGGTCTTTCACCAGAATGTTACTTCAAATGTAATTTATTTTATTTTTTTAAAGAAATTGCTAAGATAATTGCTACCCATTCATTCACCTTCAATGAGTGTTTGTTTACTGCAAAGACTTTCTTTGTTTCTTTCAAAAACACAATTTAACTGTAATGTTTTCAATATTTAAACCTTTATCTGCGATACAGATATTACAAAACAAAACAAAACAAAACACACACACACACACACACACACAAACAAATGCACTTTTTTCATACAGAGGCTAATTGATAACTTTGTTGAAAGTAAAACATTTTTCATCGTACCTCAAGTTTTAGATAAAAATAGAACAATGTTTTGGTGCGTCTATAAAGCAAATTTATTCCAAACTGACAAGGAGTGGTTGCTCCAATTTCTATTAGCAAAAAGCATCTCTTTCCTTCCACAACGTAGCTTCAGAGTGGCCTCTTCAGCCTACTGAAAAGCAGGCTGCTCCGGGTTGTAATCTATTGAACGTTTGTCAAACTGCTCCTGCTGCTCTTGCTGCAGCTCGGCCTTGTCATGCCTGGTGGAGGGAGAGAAGATACTAGTGTTGGTATTTGTAAATGTGTATTATATATATATATATTTGTAAAAGACATAGCGTTATATCGCATTCACTGTGACAATTACATAAATGTTACTTCAATATTTATTGACTTATTAAGTACAGTACAGTGGTACTGTTGGGTCTCTGTAATTAATGTTAAAGAGTTCGGTCTAGACCTGCTCTATTTGAAAAGTGTCCTGAGATAACTTCTGTTATGAATTGGCGCTATACAAATAAAATTGAATTGAATTGAATTGAAAAATTAACACTAGTAGTTTAGTAGTTGTAAAAATAATGACACAGGTTCTTACCCATGGATCAGGTGATGGACTAAATAAAACAGACAAGAGAAGAAAAGAATTACACATCACAAAAAACAGTCACAGTATTGGACTTGTTGTTTGTTGTACAGAGCTGTCAGCAGGGTAATATGTATATAAACACATTGTATTGTAGAGAATCATAGACAGTCATAGCGTCTTGTGCATACTCTTCAGACAGTAATACACATAATACATAGTTCTAGATTATGGTGTTACATTACATACAAGTCCTGCAGCCTGTTGCACCAGCTGTGTGTAACTTCAGACTTAGTTATCACAGAAATGATAGATTATTATAGTTATTTTGGTATTAATAAGAATGAAAGCAGTTGCACCTCAGAGATGAGTTGCAACTTAAGTCTAAGAAAAACTAGTTAGCCACACAATCTTTTCATTAATTGAGACTAATTTGTTGATATCTAGCTTACTGTAATGTGCTACTATGCCATGTGGCTTATGCCAGACAGAAAGCTCATTTACACTTTGTCTCTATCTCAGAAGAGAGCCTGAGCCTTCTGAAATTTAGATGTCAAAATCTAGTATTTTTAAAAATTAAACCCGGCGCCTAAAGGGTTAAAAGGCCAATTAATTTCAAATGATAGTATCATGGTACCATGATCAACAGTCACTGTGACGTGTCATATAAGGAAATGTCCAGGTGTAATTAAAAACATTTTAATAATTTATTAGTTACACATGTTTTTCTAGCCAAATTCTGTCAAAATATTTGCCATTAAAAAGCCAATTGATTCCATAACTGTACCTGCGTGTATAAGTATCCCAAGAAAACACTCTCCAGGTTCAGCCATGAAAACGACCATGGACAACACAAGAAAGACCGCAGTACACTTCATCCTAAAAGAGAAAATCATTTTAACAGTAGTTCTTTAAGAAAAAAAGAAAAAACGACTTAATTTAATTCTTACCTTTCCACTGGTTCACAGTCAAAGACAAAAGAGTGTTTGCAGACAGACTATTGGGATATTTGCAAGTTATGTAAATATCAGTACCCACTGGTAGACCGGCACATCTCTTATATAGGAGACAAATCATTTAGTAGTTATGTAATACCAAACCAAAGTACTTTCATCACTTCTTCATTTTTGAAAGTGGGGTCAGTCATTCTGGAAAAAGAAAGTTGATAGTTGAACCCCAGGTAATCAAATACTGATGTTTTGAGTTATGGTAAATGGGAAACACACATCACAGCGGGTGGTGTTTGTGCTCCTAGGTGGGAACAACACTCAACATTCAACTATCTTTCTCCAGAATGACTGACCCCACCTTTAAAGGACCAGTGCCCAGGTCAGTTCTTCCTGGCCCAAGGGCAGTCTTGTGTACTTTATTGTTCTCCTTCCCTGGGTTTGTTCTGTTTGTGCTGTAGGAGCACTCACTGCCTCTGTCCAGTATGGAAGCAAACTCAAACTGGTTAGACATAACTGTTACATAACCGTAACCATGCCAGCAAAGCCTCTAATGCAGTGAGGGTTATTATTTATAATGTTTCTTCCAATGTGCTGCCTAACCTTCGACATATTTCTTTTCATCATTCCACTAACTGGATGATGGTTTGAACATCGGCTGCATTAAATATCTTAAAGAGTCTAAAGATTTTATCCTTTTTGTGAAATCTTCTGTTTGGTGACCAGGCCACTATGAATCTAAGGCTAGGCTACTGCTAGTGTCATCTTGTAGGAGGGCTGCTTCAGCATTTAAGTACGACAAGAAAGCGCAATATTCTGAAAATGTCATTGCTATCATATACATTTTTTATTATCTTTCAGCCAAACAGCAAATGAAGGCGTGAAACTTGCTCTCTTTTATGCACACATATGAAGGCACCTTTGACACCAAACTAAATACACTTTTTTAAGAGCAGTCTTTTATTTTTATATATAAAGGGGTTGTTTAAATTGATATGAAACAACTACAGAAAATAATAAAGGTCTATTTTTTAGTCCACATGTTTATATTGAAGTCTGATTTATTCAAATGTTCTTAATAACATTGTATATTAAATATTAAAAGTATTTCATTAAAGAATTATGAATTGACAGCAGTTTATTTATTGGCAGGCAACATGTGCTCTGGTTTAAGCTGTGTCCCTTTCTCTTAGATAACATACTGTTGTAGTTCTTTTAGATCTCATTGCAGCGTTTGACACGGTCGACCACACCATCCTCTTGTCCCATCTGGAGAAATGGCATTTTGCATCAGTGGCATGGCCCTTGAATGGTTTAAGATAGATAGATAGATAGATAGATAGATAGATAGATAGATGGATCAAAAAGGCCATTAGGAAATCTCGTAAACACAAAATTAATTTCCATTTTTTATGCAGACGACACCCAGATCTACCTCAGCTGACTCCAATAACTTAAATGAAATGAATTCTCTCATAAAATGTCTCCCTTCTCTCCATTTGCAGCAAAAAGTCTCCCTCCTCCTTACAGCTGATTCAAAATGCAGCTGTCAGGTACCAGAAAAATAAGAACACATTTCTTTTCATCTCTGCACTGGCTGCTTGTTAGTTTTAGAGTAGATTTTAGATTTTAACAAGGCACGAAATGGGCTGCCCCCAAGCTATATCTCAGACCTCTTAATCCCCCATGTGCCTCCATGGGCCCTGAGGTCCTCAAATGCAGCTCTTCTGGAGGTTCCCAAAACAAGATTTAAAAAATAAAGGTGGCAGTGCGTTTGCCACCAGAGCCACCAAACTGTGGAACTGCCTTCCAGAGGAGATCAGGATGACAAATTCTATCACTTCTTTTAAGTCTCTTCTTGAAACACACTTTTATAGTCTTGACTTCCTGTGACCCTTTTTGTAACAACTGTATAACAAACTGTGGTTTCATTGTTTTTTTTTATTGTTTAGCTTTATATACTGATATTTTTTACATTGTTTGTTTATTCCATATATTGTTATTGGTGGTGCTATGGTTCTTAGTCTCTGTTGTTTTTTTTGTTTTTATCTTTTAAAAGCACTTTGTTACCCCATGTTATTTTACTCGTACAACTTGCACTTCTATCCTTATCCCAGTGTTATAATCTGCATGAAGGGATGTTTTTAATGCTCTGTTCAACTTTCAGCTGTTGGAACAGTTTGGTCAACCTGGTGAGGAGCTCATGTGGCTGCTGGTTGTTAATATAGCTAAATCACTAAATTTATACATCATCTATATCACTAAAATTGAAAAGGGAAGTCCTGGTTTGACTTTTCCTATTTAGTATTCCTCCACTTCTCTTTGCTTTCCTCATATTTACACAGAAACGCCAGTTACATCTGACAATGTAATAGCAGTTGCAGAGAACATCATGGTTCTGTGTGAGATGACTGATTGAGAAAGAAGCATATATATTGAAAACAGCAGTGGGCCTAGAATGGATCAACCCTGGGGAACACCACAGTGGCATTGAGCCACAGCCGTGTGTGACATTGCTAATGCGGGCAAGAGAAAAATAAATGTTAATAAATAAATGTTATTCTTGTTAGCCTTCTGTTAGCCGTCCATGACGTCTCGGAGTGAGTCTGTCGACCAATAAGAGCCGATGTTTCACTCATGGTGAAGACCGCAGAGGCCTGTGGCAGCTCGTCTGGTACTTTTTTTAAGTTAAGATGCTGTGTGTGTGTGTGTGTGTGTGTGTGTGTGTGTGTGTGTGTGTGTGTGTGTGTGCTGTTTGTATTGGACCCAAAGGGGGCAATGACAATGCAAATCTATTGCTGTATCGGTGTTAACAACTTGATTATTATCTCATCACTTCCCCACACTGTTACCTCTCGTCTTGCCACTCAGAGACACTAATGGTGATAAAGTACAAAGACAGATGAGAAAAATAGGGAACTGGTGATGGCATCATGAATTGGCCATCACTTGCAACCTCTTTCTGCCCTGTCTCAAGCTCAGATTCACAAAAGATATTTCAGCACAAACATGTCCATAAAGTTCTGCAGCTGAGTCAGTTTGGCCTTGTCTTGCGTCTGTTAAGTGTTCTGGTAAGGTGTACTGAAGTAGCAGATCACATGACATTATGAATCTGATGCGTGCTGTTCCCAGTACCATTATTAAACAATGTTTGAGTCAAAAATGTTAGAAATGGAGTTGCAAGAACAATACTTTTTACTCATATGGAGAACTCTAATTACAACAATAACTATTATAATTACCTGTTAACTCTCTCTGTTCTTTCATTTGTTTCAATCTGCAGGATCATTTTCACTCTATATTGAGTGTTATTTGGGTTGCATTGACTGTCCGCTCTGCCTCTGTGTGTGGCTATTAGTGATGGTGTTTTAGAGTAAGACTATTTTGCAGTGATACTCATTTGCATAGAAAGGAGCCAATGTTGCGCCAAATGTATGCATATTACCTCATTTAAATATGTGCAAATAGCACCAGAGCGTTGAGACACCATTTGCTTGGCAGTGCAGTTAGTGGTGCATTTCACCCTCTGCTGGTGCTTTAAGAAATATTTGTGAAGGTGTAACATCTGCAAAAGTCACACAAACCTTTTGTGAATTTGCCCCTGGATTTTCTGTAACTGTATACATGAATATTTGGATTTATAGCCATTACTTCATGTATTGGTATACTTTTTCTTTTCACACTACCATGTATCAACACATCAAAATGTTACAAAATCTCATACTTTACATTTAAGTACATTGTCCCATAGGTGTTTAACTGGGTTGAGATCTCGTGTCTGTAATTTCTATACTCATTTACTCAGAGTTCTCCTCTAAATGAGAGAAATAAGGGAAACAAGTTTTGTAGATATGCATATTTATTCCAAATGACTGATATATGTTCAAATATCAGTTGAAAAGCAACTAGAATTTCCTTCAAAACAAAGTTTCAGAGCTGCTCTTTCAGATGAGCCGCCATAGATTCACTCACAAATCTAGTCAAAAGCTGCGCGCTCGCGGTTAAAGCGCTGATATTGCTGCGCTTGCTGATCTTGCTGATCTTGCTGATATTGCTGATCTTGCTGATCTTGCTGCGCTTTTCCCCCGGTCACAAGTCTGGTGGGTAGAGAGACAGTTGAGAGAGTTCAGCTCCAGAACATTACAACATGCAACAAAAACACACGTATTATACAAGTATCAAGTATTGTCAAACACAAATCCTTACCTGTGGATGCTCTTGCCGACTAAACAAAAGAGAGAAAATAAAACAAACATTAAAAAAGGATTATATCAAGACAGAAACATTATTATAACATTATTATTTGTTATACGTTATCCATCATATGACATTGTAAGACATTATAATCTTATGTTATTGTGCATACTCATAAATAGTGTCTTTACATTATTATAATTGTTAAAAATATATATAATAATAATATAATAATATTTATAATTAATAAGAAATTAGTACAGAGTAACAGAAGATCTATAGTTCGTTATGGGGGCATTTCTTGCGAATAAGTGTATCATAAGCCCCATCAGTCAACCTTGAGTTTATAACTAGTCAAGAGCATCCATAAATGGTAAATGGACCTGTACTTGTATAGCGCCTTTCTAATCTAGACTGTGTGAATGTGTGTGAGAGGGTGAATGTGGCTGTACTCTTTTTGCAATACCTTTCTTTGAGACAACAATAACCTCAGTAAGGACTACATTCCTTTTAGATGTGCCAGTTGGCTCTGGTATTATGAATCCTGAGATATTATCACGTCTGTGCATTTAGTCATGCCAGAATGTAAGCTGTGAAAAATTCCAATGTGTTCAATGATTGGTTACCGTGAACAATTCCACGGAAAATGTGGTGAAAGAAGGCGTCCCCAGGTTCAGCCATGAGGACGACCATCGACAGCACAAGAAAGAGCGTGGCGCACTTCATCCTGTAAACAAGAACCAAACACATCACAAAGGCCATGGTTAGACTGCCTGTGTCATAGATTTGACACCCAGTGAACATTTGTTAATTGTTGTTTTTTAAATAGTGTACAAGCTCCAGATTGAGATATATACTCTTAACAATGAATTTGCTCCTAAATGAAGGAAGATGAGAGACTTACGTGTTTCCACCAGGGGAGGCTGAAAGTCAAAAAGCTGTTATCAAAGTGAGCTTAAGAAGCGGTTTGAGATGTACAGGTGGTGTAAATCTCTCTGCATTGGCTGATACGCATCTCTTTTATAGCAAGAGTTCCCTTACTCATGGTTTGTGCAGGATGTTGCAATATAGGAAGCTATAACCAACTAAGGGCATTCCACACTGAACTCACGTCTTTGGGTTCTGGTTTTTAGTTTAGTTTAGAAAGTCAAAAATCCTAAATCATCCTCATTTAAAAATATCTTACTTTGTCTCATTATGTGTTCACCTTTCCAATGAATTTGGAGATGGATGTTACTTTATGATTTTATGTAATAAACGAGGGACTCTTCAGCTCACATCTATCCTTCTATAAGTTTTCTTGTTTGACAGCCAGGCTGCTACGAGTCTATGGCATTAGATAGATAGACAGATAGATAGATAGATAGATCTATCTATCTGTCTATCTATGGCATTAATACCACATTTATCAACATTTATTACTTTCCGCTTAAGTATCATCATGAACTGACGCACAGTTGTCACAGAGGCAACAAGAGAAGTTCTAAATAATAATAATTTCACCAGTTGACCAGACAGTCATTTAGAAGTTGTTTAAAGAAGTAACAATGATAGAAGCACAAATCCTTATCCCTCATGCAACTTACCAATTCAATTAAAGCAAAATAAAACAATTACATTTAAACTCATCACATCATGTCATACGTCAGTCAATAATCATAATAATCATACCATTATTCTTTTTAGTACACAACAGTACACAACATTTGTTTATTTAATTAGTACTATTTGGTCTCTACTGAACAAGTAAATCTTACAACAAACAAATTTACAAATATAATATATTATTATAAAAACCTAAATACATTCCTAAAACAGCTGGGTACTGTAGTTTTTAGCAAATGGTACACGACTAGGTAGTGTATTTGTTGAGGTCTATTTTTAGCAGGGGATTAATACACATTTGGTGCTCAAGTCAATATAAGATTGTAGTATGGGGAATATTAGTTCAATATATATTCATTGTTGGTTTTGGTCTTCTAAAGGGATATGTTTGCTCCCAATGAAAAAAAATTATTCCATTCCATTTGGTCAACATTACTCTTATAAGTTAGATATTTGTTTATGCAGGGACAGTATTTAATATGTATTCCACTGTTCAGTTAAAGCTGTTCTCATAGTGAGCTGTGTGATGTAGACGGGTGATGTACCTGTGCTGACTGCTCTGCACATACACCTCACTTTATATATACTTAGGGTTAGGTTATTGCTCTAATTTTAACCCCAAAAACAATGTAAGTTGGCTTCTTCTCCCTATCACTTCCTCAAATTCAGCTTTCTTGGTAGCCCAAGTGAGTGAATGATAAATTACAAAAAGTATACAAAAAGTAAATATGCACCTGCTTTATGAATTAATCAATTCAGTTGTTGATCAAGCAAAAATGGGAAACATTCAACAGCTACAGCTTTTCAAAAAAGGTGAGGATGTGCTATTTTTTTATTTCATCACTGTAACAAGTCATTTAATTTAATTTTGAATTGCCATGTTGGGCTCTGGGAAGGTGTGATGGCCAAAAACTGAAAGAGAGTTAGCTGTGTAGAGTCAGCACAACATTATAAGTATAAAATAATATCATCAACATTAACATGGATACTAGAAGTTTTAAATAAATAAATAATAAATGGTATTGTTATCAATTGTAATATTTTTTTAAATTTAATTTAACCTTGGTTGGTTCTAGTATAGAGCCCTGTGGAATACCTTGAAACATTTCTGTATGTAATGTATGTGCTGTCAGAGTAGTGAAAATATTGTATCCACTTTCTTGTGTTTTGTCTGTTCCGAATGAAATATTTCCCACTGATTCTTTTTGTCTTATACTTCACAAAAGCTTTATATCTGCTATGATGTTCCTGAAAAATACTGGCTGTGCACAGGGATTCTGTTCACTGATCAACTTTACAACTCAACTCATGTTATTGTTACACTACTTCTTAGCATTTATGATTGTCTCGCAACTCTCACTTGTAGCCACAGTTGACACAGACACTATTTTCACTTTTTTCATACAGTGGCTTCATTTTTTTCTTATCTCAGAAAAATCTATTGTAACATTTTTATCATCTATTTTTAATAAAACAGTAGAAGGATGTTTTGGTGCATTATAAAGCAAAATTTATTCCAAACAACTGACATTCTTCCAAATTAATTCAAAATTCCTCAGTTTAGGTCAATGCATATATTTTCAAGAAGTGGTTGCCCCACTTGATATAAGGTTTGGGTTAGGTCCAAAAAATAGCTTCAGAGTGGCCTCTTCTGCCTAGTGAAAATGAGGCCTTCCTGGGTTGTAATCAATTGAACGTTTGTCAAGCTGCTCCTGCTGCTGTTGCAGCTCCTGCTGCTCTTGCTGCAGCTCGGCCTTGTCATGCCTGGTGGAGGGAGAGAAGATATTAGTATTAGACAATTAAAGAAATACTTAATTCTAGAGGGTAACTATTTATTGTAAAACAAGTAGTTTAGTTGTTGTAACAATAATGACAAATAGTAGAAGCACAGGTACTTACCCACCGAACAAATGGCCAACTAAAATAGACAAGAGAGAAAAATAATGACATGGAATTTGAACTGTTGACTTTATATCACTCATCACAAAAAATACTACAGTGACTTTTGTGTTTGTCAGCAGAATAATACATTTACATTACATTACATACATTTTAGGTTATTCGTTACACATATTTTTCTAGCCATGTGTCAAAGTATATAATTAAAAGGGCAATGGATTTCATGACTGTACCTGTATGTATGGCTCCATGGATAAGCATTCCAAGAAAACACTCTCCAGGTTCAGCCATAAAAACGACCATAGACAACACAACAAAGGCCGCAGTACACTTCATCCTAAAAATTTCCAAATTGGAAAATTTAACAGTAGTTATTGGTATTGGAGTTACTTGTTCACAAGTAAATTAGGTTGAAATTTGAATTTAGTTCTTACCTTTCCACTGATTCACAGTCAAAGACAGTGAGGTAAAAGTCTGTGACACCCCTCTTTATATATGTAGCAGCTCAATTATCTTATCACTTCCTCACTTTTCAAATGAGGACTCTGTGTACCTCATTATACTCCTTCATTAGGTTTGTTTGTTGTGCTGTAGGACCACTCCTCGCCTCTGTGCAGCATGAAAGGAAAATTAGTTGGTCAAAATAGTTAGACATAACCAATATTACAAGTTACATATACGTAACCTCACCGTTATGGCTTATAATGCAACCCTGTAAGAAGTACATAAATAAAAAAGATGGAGGCTTAAAGTTTGCATATAATAATAAAAACTACGTAAACTAAATTGCGGCTCCGACCGACCATTCAATGTCAGCTTTCAATACTTTTTCAATACAGCTTTAGATTGAAACACAGTTAATTGACAACTATTACATCAATGTTAATTCAATACATTAATTGCTGCTTTTTTCAGTTAAATAGTTTGTTGACAGCTACATTGAATAAACAGTAATGTTGCCATTTTTCTTAAAATCTTAATTTCCACATATTTATTTGAAATGGAACAAACAGTGAGTAAAGGTAATCTTAAGTTGATATGTTTCTTGTGAAATCTTCGGTTTACTGACTATAAATCTAAAGCATTAACACCACACTTAGCATTTTCTCCAGCTTTATTGGGGTTGTGTGTTGTGTGTATCATTTATGCTTTCCCACCATCTGACACAAGTGCAGGTTAGTGTACATATGTAAAAACCCTGCAGACAACTCTTCAGTATGTATTGGTTTTGGTATTGACACAGCGTTTGATGTCAGCTTAGTAGAAGCTCTGAGTTCTGAACATTTCTTCTTAGAAAACTTGTGAGTATTCTTGTGAAACTCCACCCATTATTATCAAAATAAGCAGAAATGTAAAGTGGAACTTGGGGTTTTCTGGGGTTCAAGATAACGTTCTTCACCTTGTCACTATAGGTAGAGAAAACATCTCATATGCTAACTGCTTCTAATACTACTGCCATTGTTACTTGTACAACTGGCATTTTTATATTTATGTTTTATAATCAACATGAAGTGAAGTTCGTATGCACTGTTCAAATTGTTCATATACTAGGTTGAAACAGTTTGGTCAATCTCGTGAGGAGCTAATGTGGCTGCTTGTCGTTAACATAGCTTCCTAGGAATTAATAACATAGAGGTTCATCATCAAATTTTAAAGGGACCTAAAACATTTTAGAGTCTTGGTCTTGTCTTGGTTTTACTTTTCTCCTCAGCTTTCCTCCATCTCGCTTTTTCCTCATATTAACATTGAAAAACCAGGTGCATTGTAGCATGTAGTGTACTAGCAGTTGCAGAAAACAAGTAACTGAGAAGAAGCATTCATATTAAAAACAATAGTGGGTCGGGAATGGATCCCAGGGGAACACCGCAATTAAATTTAACTACAGGAACATCGGGAGTCGTCTCTTACAACAGAGTTTCTGTCAGAGATACAAACCAAAGTCCTAACTTGGTTTCTAAATTTACCAGGATAACACTTAAATCAACTGTATGACCAGCAGCTCTCAAATTTGTCATGAAATAACTTTATTCTGTTAAAATAATTTTTTCCTCACTTGATGATAGTCTTTTCTTTTTTTTTAGGCCACTCATCTAGTTCTGCTTTTTATTTGAGGTGCTGTGCGTGATCTGAATGGGGTAATGACAATGCAAAGCCCTTGCTGTATCAGTGTTAACAGCTTGATTATTATCTTATCACTTCCCCTCGCTCTGTTTCGACTTCTCACTTCTCTCTGCTACATGGAGGAACTAACAGTAAGAACTTATGAAGACGGACGGTCTTTTATTTAAACTTGTGCCATTTCTATAAAGCAGTATGTAAGAATTGGTATCTTTTGTAGTTTGGTGCCACAGTTTCAGAGTGCAATTCCGGTGGTATATGGACAGCTGTACACATGCATTGCATTGTTATGATTACATTACTTATGTTTAAAAACTAGCGAGTCCAAAACTTTGCTAATACAGTCAAACATCAAGCAAGTGAAACAACACAAGACAAAGCAATCTAGCTAAGATAACTTACTAGTCCAACATACACACACTTTCTTTCCCTTATATTTTAAGTGATAATCCATGAGTTTTCTGTTCTCCATTTGTGCTGCTCAGTGCTGTAGTGTTTTTGTCTTGCACAAAGGCCACTTGTCAATCAAACGAGGGGCAAACACTGATATTTTTCCTTAGGTCTAATGTTAGAGATTTAGTGCTTGTCTCTACTGCTGCCCAGTTTCAGCTCTATTGTGGATTTGTCCTGTGTGAGAGCATTCAGTTTTTAAAATAGCAAATGTAAAAACCTTTCATGAAATGCTTGGATAAAATGTTTTTTACAAGCAATCCCCTTGCATTTATCAATATCTTACTATATAGTCAAGTTAACACATCCCACTCTTTACCACCAGGTCTCCAATTAAAAGCATGTACCATAAAATATCAGGCTTAAAGTCCACCCGATATACTTGAAATGCCCGTCTGGTCAGCACAGTGGAAAAATAAATCAATCCTGCACATTGCTCTATATAAAAGACATACTGCAACTCAGTAAAAGTATATGGAGGGATAATATCGTCACTGGTGTACGTTGTTGTACTTTAGATCAGTAATGATCAATTTCGTCTTTTAATCACCTCCATCTTCGTATTTTTTCCTTCTCTAATGTTGACCCATTAGGAGCACATGAATGATAACTGAATCTATAGTAAATAGTCCAATTGAACTAAAGATAGGAGTTTGATTGTGTAAGATGAAACCTCTCTGCTGACCCGGTTTACAGTATCTGAACCAACCAAATACAGCATATTGACTGTTTACTGGAGACATTAGACACAAGTAAAAACTCTCTATGTGACCACACAAGGATCAAATCATGTGTTAAAGACCAGAAAGGCATCTCCTGATTAGCTGCCGTTCCATTCAACCCGATCTTTTTCATTTTTTCAAACACGTAACAGCACTCTGAACTGGCTGGTTGTGTGACAGATGAGAAAGCGAGATGTCTTTACGTGATGTGGAATGCTAAGAAACCAGTGTCTCAGGATGATCCTGACAAACCAAGAGACAACAAGGAGCCGTGAGCTGAGGGGTTCGTGTTTGATCCCGGTGTAAGCCCCTCTCTGCTGTCTCAGAGAAATGAGTCTCACTGTAGCACTGAAATCTCAGAAGGACGCAAATTCACAGCATCAGCTAAAATAGACTTTTTTCAACCACCTCCAGTTGTTTGGATGCTTTGTTAAAGCACAAAGCTTTTCTCCTCACTGTTTAACCTCCTTGTTTTTGTGATGACACTTGATTACACAAGCCATTCTGAACTGCACGTCACTATTATGTTACAACTGGAACGCAAATTATTGCATCATTGAAGGCCAATTGTAGTTTTTGAATGATTCAACGAACCGGCTAATAAAAGTTGGTGGGTGGTAATAACCTTTTAATATTGCCGTTTTAAGTTAAGATTGCAAAGTGAGTTACAGATATCAGGATAAACTTAACACGAATAAACAAAAACGTGCCCATATGCAGAAATCACCACAGTGGAGCATTACTCTGCAAAAAACATCAAAACTGCAACTAAAATGGTACAGACAGCTGTTGTGCAATCGATTGCTCAAACACATTTGATGAAGACTAAACAGACGAGAGGCAACATGAGGCAATACTTCTTAACAAGCTGCAAAACACTGACGAACCAGTTAATCGGATGGTCTTTGGGATATTTTGCTTATTTTCCTCCCATTATAATGCAGCTCTACACATTCAGAAAAGTTTGCTTTGCCACTCAGCGAAGGTTCATTTTCTACACTGGCTCCATAACTTTCTAATGACAGAAGCAAGCTGCTCGCAGGATTTGGCTACACTGAACCAGAGGCACCAGGAAGCTACAGTAGCAGCCACGAGCATATCTAATGGGATTTTCAGAATAATCTGCTGCTGTGGCATGCATCATGAGCAGTTACAACTTAATGAAGTTAGAGAAGAAAAGCTTACTCCAGCGCAATTCACTAAATCCCTGCATCTAATTTTTAAAGCCACTTACAGCCACCTAAATTTCAAGGACAGAATAGAGTGAGGACTGACAGGATATTCGGTATAAATGTGATCAATTATTGGGTCAAACTGCCGATTTAGAGGTAACATCGATCCTTTAACACGAAATCAAACATTCACCCCTTGTAAAATTGAAAGGTAGTTGTAAAAGGTTTCTTCCGTCATGTTCAACACTCAGCGTGGATTCATGTTCATCATATCAAATCAAAACATTCATGGAAAAAAACAGACCTCTCTTGCACATGTTCTTCTTCACATCTGTTTAATATTCTGAATATATTCTAAATATACTTTTTTTTTTTACAGAAATATGGCAAATATGTGTCCACTCGCCACAGCTAAGACCTGAGCTTCCATTACCTTTAACAATGCCTCTGGCTTGTTCGTGCTTTACATCAAGCATTATTGCTAACTAGTAATGAGCATGGGACAATGATATTCAGCATATCCACCAAGATACGGTATAAAAAGTATTTTATATTTAAAAAAGTGTGGGCCTGAAGCAGTCATAGCCTATAGGCTTATGTTTACATTGTATAGCCAAAGCTAATTGTATAATATAGTGAACACTAAACTAATTAGGCTTTTAAGGGGTGTAAGGAAACTAAAAATATACACAGTAAGCTGATATCTCAACTTTTCACTGACTTTGTCTTTATTAAAATTAAAATCTTAAAAAATTAATTAAAAACTACATAATAGAGATAAAATTGTATTAAAAGTTCCTTTAAATTATCAGGAAAACTCATCTCTGATGCAATATTCACAGGAAATAATCATCCAAAAATTCCTCCAAATCACTAACTTACTGTGTTCACTATTTGGGTTCACTGTACAGTTCATCAGTTGTTCTGTACTGTTAAATATCTATAAAATACGTTTCACAGTCAGTACGATGTCAGTGTTAGCTGCTTGGCTGTAGTCCTTACAGTCGGCTGCATTGAAGGTCGGTGTGCTGGAGCCCTGGATGTGTGACGGCCTACATAAACCATGTCCTGCTTAAAAACCAACATGTAGACATAGAAATGACAGATGGAGAGA